AGACGACGCCGGCTGCTCGCAGAGGTCGCCGCGGGGAGGCCCCTGTGCGCGGGGCTGTGTTTTATTTTATTAGTTTTGGAGGGGCGGGGGGGCGGGGGCAGGGGGACGGGGGGCTCCCCGAGGTGGCTTCCCCCCTCGGGCCCCTCCCTTCAGCCCGGCAGCTCTGATCGGCTCTGACGGGCGTTGGGGGCGATGTGTCGCCACCGGGAACCTGGTTCTCGTCTCGGGGCCGGCCTGCCGCGCTGGGCGGGGGGCGGCCGTGACGCTGGCCAGAGCCGCCGGCTGTTATTCTTGGTAATTGCCTTCATTAAGGCAGAGCGTGTGTCAATCAAACCGGCGGCTTTCAACATGCCAGCGGCTGGGGGGGGGGGGGGGGGGAGAAAAGCAAAAGCAAAAGAAAATAAAAAAAAGGCGTTCTGTTTGTCCGCGGCCGGGGGCGGGGGGCCTGGGGGGCCGGGCCCGTATTGGAAACAGGCGCGGGCAGTTTTCCGGGGACGTCGCTTCCCAGCGGCGCCCGCGGACTCTGAGCACCAACAGGGGGACGGGGGCGGGGAGCGGGGCGTAACGAGGAGCTCATGTGGGCTCGGGCCTGGGCGCAGCTTTTAAAAAACATAAATATGTATTTTCTCGGTTTTTTACAGAGAGGAAGGGAGAGGGACAGAGAGCTAGAAACATCGATGGGAGAGAAACATCCATCAGCTGCCTCCTGCACACCCCCTACTGGGGATGTGCCCGCCACCAAGGTCCATGCCGCGGACCGGAATCGAACCCGGGACCCTTCAGCCCGCAGGCCGGCGCACTATCCACTGAGCCACACCGGCTTCGGCTCCATCACTGTTATCAGACGAGGACGCGCCTCCGGTCCCGTGTCACCTGTTGCCGGGTCTTAAAGGGCCGGCGCGGACAGGCGACAGCACGGATCTCCACGGGGGAGGGGGGGAGCGGGGAGAGGGGGCTCGCCAGGCGGCCCCGGCCTCGGAGCCCACAGCCGCTAGCATTCACACCCTCGTTTGCATCCGTGTTACCGGGAGGCGAGCCCTGGGCGACGGCCCCACGCGGGTAGTTTGCTGTCGCTGGGAGGGTGGGCGTGGGCCTGGCCGAGCGCCTGTTTGTCAGTGAAACGGCCGTTAATTACCCCGCAGGGACCGGCCGGCCTCGTCCCGGATCAATAATTCATCCGCCTCCGGTCACGGGGAGAAACGCCAGGCACGGGGGGCCTGGGCCTGATGGGGGGACCCGGGCCTGATGGGGGGACCCCGGGCCTGATGAGGGGTCCCGGGCCTGATGAGGGGTCCCGGGCCTGATGGGGGGACCCGGGTCTGATGGGGGGGACCCCGGGCCTGATGGGGGGGACCCGGGCCTTATGGGGGGACCCCGGGCCTGATGAGGGGTCCCGGGCCTGATGGGGGGGCGACCCTGGGCCTGATGGGGGGGGACCCCGGGCCTGATGGGGGAGGATTCCGGGCCGGAGGGGGGGGTGAGGGTCCGGTTCGTTCTTTATGCATCGCCGGGAACCATGGCAACGCCGGGCGCCCATGTGGAGGGGCTTATTATTACTGTTTTATTATTTATTTATTCAAAATATACTTTATTGGTTTTCCACAGAGAGGAAGGAAGTCAGAAACATCGATGAGAGAGAAACACCGATCAGCTGCCTCCTGCACGCCCCCCACTGGGGATGTGCCCTCAACCCAGGTCCATGCCCTTGACCGGAATCGAACCCGGGACCCTTCCGTCCGCAGGCCGACCGACACTCTATCCACTGAGCCACACCGGTTCCAGCTGTTTTTATTTTATTTTTTTAATGTGTTTCTGTGGATGTCAGAGAGAGAAGGGAGACGGAGAAGCGTCCGTGAGGAGAGAGCATCGCGGCATCACAGACCGGCCGCCTCCCGCCCGCCCCCCTCTGGGGATGGAGCGCGCACCCGGGCCTGCGCCCCGACCGGGCATCGAACCCGGACCTCCGGCGGCTTATTTCTCAGGGGAGTCCCTGACGGTCAGGATCGCCTTCGCGAGGGGTTGGAAGCCTGAGGTTGGCCTTGCCCGGCCCCGCCCTCTGGAGAGAGGGTGCAGGACTGGGCACCCCATTTGCATTTGAAAACGGAGAAGACAGGGCGTGGGGGGCAGAGGGCTGGCGGGAGGGGGGGCAGAGGGGGAGGGGGAGCAGGGCGGGTGGGGGAGCGGCTGGCGGGGGGCAAGGGGGGGCGGTGATTTGTGCGGCCGGAGCCGGGAGGCGCCCGGTGGACCGTGTGAAAACAGTTCATTAAAACGTGGACGTGCCCGGCTGCCTGATGCAGAGAGCGTTTATGGCCGAGGCCCACGGCTTCGGGGGGCGGCCGATCGATGGGGCCATAACTCAGCCGGCGCCCCCATTCCCCCCGCCCGCCCGCCTGGCCTGGCCGGGGAGGGGGACCCCAAAACGCCTCCTTCCTCGGACCACGGACCCTCCGGTGCTCCAGGCGGCCAATCCGGGGCCGGCTCCCTGTCCCGGTCCCTCTCCCCAAAGCCGGTCCCTGTCCCTCTCCCCGAAGCCGGCTCCCTGTCCCTGTCCCTGTCCCCGAAGCCGGCCCCTGTCCCTGTCCCTGTCCCCGAAGCCGGCCCCGGTCCCTGTCCCTGTCCCTGTCCCTCTCCCCGAAGCCGGCCCCTGTCCCTGTCCCTGTCCCTGAAGCCGGCCCCTGTCCCTGTCCCTGTCCCTGCCCCTGTCCCTGTCCCTGTCCCTCTCCCCGAAGCCGGCCCCTGTCCCTGTCCCTGTCCCTGTCCCTCTCCCCAAAGCCGGCCCCTGTCCCTGTTCCTCTCCCCGAAGCCAGCCCCTGTCCCTGTCCCTCTCCCCGAAGCCGGCCCCTGTCCCTGTCCCTGTCCCTGTCCCTCTCCCCGAAGCCGGCCCCTGTCCCTGTCCCTCTCCCCGAAGCCGGCCCCTGTCCCTGTCCCTGTCCCTGTCCCTGTCCCTCTCCCCAAAGCCAGCCCCTGTCCCTGTCCCTGTCCCTCTCCCCGAAGCCGGCCCCTGTCCCTGTCCCTCTCCCCGAAGCCAGCCCCTGTCCCTGTCCCTGTCCCTCTCCCCGAAGCCGGCCCCTGTCCCTGTCCCTCTCCCCGAAGCCGGCCCCTGTCCCTGTCCCTCTCCCTGAAGCCGGCCCCTGTCCCTGTCCCTGTCCCTGTCCCTCTCCCCGAACCCGGCCCCGGTCCCTCGCGCGCGAGGCCGTTATGACCCGGAGAGGCGGATTCTGCGGGAGGAATGGGTGGTGGTGAGAGGGGCTTCCTTTATTTCACGTATCGGCCTCAGAGTATATTTTCATTGATTTCAGCAGGAAGGGAGGGGGAGAGAGAGATGGAGTGCTGTTTGCAGTAAAACGAACCCGTGTGTGTGTGGCCGCTGTGTTCTGTTCGGAAGTTCAGCTTTTATGGCATAAAAAAAGCCAGTACAGACCGGCCGGGCGGCTCAGCGGCTGAGCGTCGACCTAGGGACTGGGAGGTCCGGGTTCGAGTCCCGCTCAGGGCACAGGCCCGGGGGGCGGGCTCCGTCCCCAGTGGGGGGCGTGCAGGAGGCAGCCGGTCCACGATTCTCTCCCATCGTGGATGTTTCTCTCCCTCTCCCTTCCCCTCTGACATCAGTAATATTTATCTAATAGGACCAAGGTTTCACACATGTACTTGGCTCAGGTCTGTGTACGTGAATGTGTGGCTCTGCGTGTGACACGTGGGGACAAGGCGGGGTTCAGAAAGCACACGGCTGCCGAAGCCGGTGTGGCTCCGCGGATGGAGCGCCGGCCTGCGGACTGAAAGGTCCGATAGAGCGTCTGCCTGCGGTGGACTGAAGGGCCCCGGGTTCGACTCCGGTCAAGGGCAAGGACCTTGGTTGCGGGCACATCCCCGGTTGGGGGTGTGCAGGAGGCAGCCGATCGATGTCTTTATCTTTGACTCTCCCTCTCCCTTCCTCTCTGTAAAAAAACACATGGATATGTTTGAGGAAGCTTCCTTGTCTGTGCTGCTTGAGAGAGAGAGAAGAGGGAGATGGAGAGAGAGAGGGAGGGAGATGGAGAGGGAGGGAGGAGGGAGATGGAGAGAGAGAGAGGAGAGGGAGGGGAGATGGGAGAGGAGAGGGGAGATGGAGGGGGAGAGAAGAGGGAGATGGAAGAGGAAGAGGGAGGGAGAGAGCAGAGAGAGGAGAGAGATGGAGAGAGAGGAAGCGGGAGATGGAGATAGAGAGGAGGGAGATGGGAGGGAGGGAGAGGGATGAGGAGAGCGAAGAGGGAGATGGAGAGGGGAGAAGGGAGATGGAGAGGGGGGGAGGAGGGACGAGGAGATGGGAGAGGAGGAGGAGGGAGAGAGAGCGGGATGATTGAGAGGGCTGAGAGGAGGGAGATGGAGAGAGAGAGAAGAGGGAGATGGAGAGAGAGAGAAGAGGGAGATGGAGAGGGAGGGAGGAGGGAGATGGAGAGAGAGAGAAGAGGGAGATGGAGAGGGAGAGAAGAGGGAGATGGAGAGAGAGAGAAGAGGGAGATGGAGAGAGAGAGAAGAGGGAGATGGAGAGGGAGAGAAGAGGGAGATGGAGAGGGAGAGAAGAGGGAGATGGAGAGAGAGAGAAGAGGGAGATGGAGAGGGAGAGAAGAGGGAGATGGAGAGGGAGAGAAGAGGGAGATGGAGAGAGAGAGAGAGGGAGATGGAGAGAGAGAGAAGAGGGAGATGGAGAGGGAGAGAACGAGGGAGATGGAGATGGAGAGAGACGAGAAGAGGGAGAGGGAGGGTAGGAGGAGGGAGGTGGGAGGGGGGGGGAGGGGAGAGAGGAGGGTGGTCCTCGAACCGGGAGGCCCCCCGCAGCCCCCGATCTAATTGCCCGAACATGACGCGGGGTCTGGGCCGTCTCAGCCTGACGGGCGTAATTGATCCCCAAACACGGTGCCGGGCCGGCCCTGCGGCCACAGCGCCCAGGGCCCGGGGCTGATGGAAGCCGTTTTCCTTGTCTTTCTTTGGGCACAAAGGGGTCAGAGACATTAGCAAGTTAAAAGCGAGCGGGGGCCGCGGGCTCGCCCCCTGACCCCCGGCCCCCCCTAATCGGCTGCACATGTGGGCGGTTGGGGCCGACCTCGGGCGGTGAACCCAGTGCGGCGGGTCCGATGGCAGCGGGCGGAGGGAGGGCGCGCAGACCCCAGCACCCGCCGGCCTGGGGCATGAGGGCGTCTGGCTGGGGGGAGGGGGGAGATGGGGGGCCGCGGGGGGGAAGTGGGGCGGCCTGAGACGGATTCGGCGGACGTCTGAACGGTAATTGCGGGGTAATTGTGTTTGGGTTAGCGTCCGGGCTGTTATTTTTACGCTGACACAGGGCGGAATGTGCTTCTCAGGCCCCCGGCCGCCGGGCGAGAGGCAGGTGTCAGAGGCGGCGGTGGGGCCGCCCAGGAACCGAGGGAGGCCGGGGGTGGCCCCGATGGGCACGGGCTCCGGCTTTTTAAAATATATATATATTATTTTTTTTTTACAGAGAGGAAGGGGAGGAGAGAGAGAGTTAGAAACATCGATGAGCTGAAACCTGTGTGGCTCAGTGGATAGAGCATCGAGCTGCGGACTGAAGGATCCCGGGTTCGATTCCGGTCAAGGGCATGGACTTTGGTGGCGGGCACATCCCCAGAGGCAGCTGGTCGATGTTTCTCTCTCATCGACGTTTCCAACTCTCTCTCCCTCTCCCTTCCTCTCTGTAAAAAATCAACAAAATACATTTAAAAAAAAGAATTAAAAAAATAATAGTAAATAAAAAAAGAAACGTCGATGAGAGAGAAACATCCGTCAGCTGCCTCCTGCACACCTCCCACTGGGGATGTGCTCTGGTCCATGCCCTTGACCGGAATCGAACCTGGGACTCCTCAGTCCTTAGGCCGACGCTCTATCCACTGAGCCACACCAACCTGGGCCCATTGAACGTTTCCATAGTAGACACACCAGTGCCATTTTTTTTCCTTCTTAATGGCAATCTTGGGGAACAGCACAAGACGTTATGTGTACTGACGAGTGTTTCTGAGTTCTCCCCTGTTTCTTCCCTCTCTCTCTCTCTCTCTCTCTCTCTCTCTCTCTCTCTCTCTCTCTCTCCCTCCCTGACACGCACAGATATAAAATAATAAAAGCAGCCGAAACCGGTGTGGCTCAGTGGATAGAGCGTCGGTCTGCGGACTGAAAGGTCCCGGGTTCGATTCCAGTCAAGGGCATGTACCTCGGTTGCGGGCACATCCCCGGTGGGGGGTGTGCAAGAGGCAGCTGGTGGATGTTTCTCTCTCATCGACGTTTCTAACTCTTTATCCCTCTCTCTCTCTCTCCCTTCCTCTCTGTAAAAAATCAATAAAATATATTAAATAATAATAATAATAAAACCAATCCTCCGAACAGTGGAAACAGGAACCATCCGCCGCCTCCCACTCCGCCTGTTTCCCAGAAGGAAAAGGACCCCCTTTGCCCCCCGAACCCACTGCCCCCCACTTCCCCAGCGGTTTCTCCGGCGGGCGACGCTCGGAGGGAACCTTCGAGAAGTTAGAACCGTGTTTGCGTCGCTCCCCGCCCGCCCCCCTTCCTCCCGATGACTCGCCGCTGTCTATTCTCGATGAAATTGATGTCAAAAAGGGATTATATTGGGTCGGCAAGTAAGTAATTGCGGATTTTTAAAAGAAAATCAAAGACAATTTTTTCATGGAACTAAATAACTTTATTCTGTAATGTATTGCCCATTTTGATCAATGACCTTTTGCCATCTTTCAGGCAGCATCATAATCCCACGTTCAAAAAACTTCTGGTTTTTATTAGCAAAAAACTGAATCAGGTACGATTTGACATCATCATCATTATTGAAATTTTTACCATTCAAGGAGTTTTGTAAAGATCGAAACAAAAAGTAATCAGATGGTGCAAGGTCAGGACTATATGGTGGATGTGGCAAAACATCCCAACCAAGCTCCATTAATTTTGCCGAGTGACCAAAGATGTGTGTGGCCTTGCATTGTCATGATGGAATACAACACCTTTTCGATTTGTCAATTTTGGGCCGCTTTTCTTCAACTGCATTGTTTAATTTCATTAGTTGTTCAATGTAGACATCAGAATTGATCGTTCGGTTGGGTGGTAAGAGTTCAAAGTAGACAATTCCTTTGTAATCCCACCAAACTGATAACAAAACCTTCTTTTGATGAATATCAGCTTTTGATGTTGTTTGAGTTGGTTCACCTGGCCTGCTCCACGATCTTTTCCGCTTGATATTGTTGTAAACAACCCATTTTTCATCGCCAGTTATCAGTCGTTTTAAAAATGGATCATTTTCATTACGTTTCTTTAGCAAATCGCAGCTGCTAATGCGTTGCGTTAACTGTGATTCTTTCAGTTCGTGAGGAACCCATGTATCGAGTTTTTGAACATAGCCAAGTTGTTTTAAGTGATTTTCAGTGCATGTATGTGATACATGAAGCTTCTCTGCAATCTCACGTGTTGTACTGTGACAGTCCGAATTGATTATTGCTTTGATTAGGGCGTCATCAACTTCAACTGGACAACCAGAGCGTTTTTCATCTTTGAGTGAAAAATCACTAGAACGAAATTTGGCAAAACCAATTTTGACACTGCCGTTCTTTTAAGGCTTCGTCACCATAAACAGCACATAACTTTTTATGAGCTTGCGATGCGTTTTTCCCTTTGTGGAAATAAAAAATCAAAATATGACGAAAATGTTCCTTTGATTTTCCATTTTTCAACGAACGCCAAACAAAAACTACAAAACAGATCAAAAAACTTTTTTTACTGATTAACAGCTGAATAGCCAACTATCAAATAACAAAATGTGTTTTACATTTTTACTACGTCTGCAAACCTAAAAATTCAACTGAAGCCATATATGTGTGAAACCCGCAATTACTTACTTGCCGACCCAATATATTTCCCGTGGCAAATAGAAGGCTGCCCTCGGCTCCCCGGTGAGGACGTGCACCCCTTTAATCATGCTTTTCCTCTCGGGGCATTGAAATCTCCGTCACCAAGGACAACACCATAAATAAAAGGTGCGAGTGCGTCGCCGTGGGTGGGTTTTCCCTCTCTCTCCTCTCTCTTCTTCTCCACCTGCCGATGCGCCGCCCGAGCCCGGCCGGGGGAGAGGGAGAGAGCCGGTCGGACGTGGAGATTTATAATCGTTTATTACGTGCGGCCGGAGAGGGGGGGGGGGGCGGTGGGGAGGGAACAGGCGCCGAGGCATATACATCCATACACGGGCGCCGGGCGGGTAAATGAAAAGCAAAGTGAATCTCTGTGTCTTGTCATAAAGTAATGGGCGCCGAGCGGTGTTATTCATCGCCCGAGCCAAGATGCATGGACTGGCCGCCCCGCGCCGGCAGTGCCCGCGCGCTGATGGATGGCCGGCGGCCGGAGGTGGCCGGGCTCCACATAACGGTATCGTTAGGCCCACGGCACGGCCCAGAGCCTCCCATAAAGCTTTATGGCCGGCGGGCGGCTGTCATTTAGCTGCGCGGCCGCTAATGCCGTACCTGGGGCCGCGGGGGCTTCTGTAGCCGCCGTGTATGAGGCCCTGACGGAGTCCATCCCCCCGGGGGCCGCGGCAGCCACTCATCCCCACGGCGGGGGGGGGGGGGGGGGGGGGGGCGGGCAGGGGCGGGCGGGGGGGGGGGGGGAGAGGGGGGGCAAAATTCCAGGAGAGGCGGACGGTGGCCGTTCCCACACCCGCATCCCCCCCGGGAACGGGAGGCCCGTCCGGTTGCTGTTGTGATCTAGAAAAAGGGACTCCCAGCCCTGGCGGGGGTGGCTCAGTGGTTAGATGGGGTCCCGGGTTCGATTCTACCGTGTTTCCCCCAAAATAAGACATCCTCCGAAAATAAGACCTACTCACAGGTTTCCTTCTGAGGGAAATAGAAGGCATCCCCCCGAAAATAAGCCCCCCCCCCCCCCCCCCGGCTAAACATGAGAGATTTGGTCCACTGATTCTGAAAGAAATGGAGTCACAGGAAATTCACCGGGAAATTCAGGAATTGGATTGTGATGATGATGTTCCAGGAGAGGATGATATGATTGTCACTGAATAAATGAGTACATTCTTGATCCTGTAGGATTCTCAGTGTGTCTGGTTTGTGTGGACAACAAGCGTACTGCCGTACCGCACACAGGTAATACATGTCCTTTATTTTCATTGAATCATAAATGTGTACCGTGTTTTTCTTCATGGAAAAATAAGACAGCCCCTGGAAATAAGACGGAGCGCGTCTTTGGGAGCAAACATGAGTAGAAGACACTGTCTTATTTTCGGGGAAACAGGGTGGTTGAGGGCATAGGCCTGGGTGCAGCCTGAGGCGGGGGGGGTCTGCGGGAACCCCAGGCGTGTGCGTGCCCCACACGGAAACACGCAGAGAGCCGGCCCGTCACGCTGAGGGCGGCGCGGCCTGTGGTCTCGGGGGCGAAGGTCCGGAGCCGGCGAAGGGCCGCGGCTTCGCGTTAACGTTTAACCGGCGGCAGAGCCACGCCGTGTGGCAATTCTCCTAACGCTCAGCAAACACGGCCCGGGACCATCTCTCTCCCTCCTTCCTTCTTTCCTTTTAAACAAGTTTGTATGGATGTCAGAGAGAGGGAGGGAGAGAGAAACGTCCACGATGAGAGAGAATCACCCATCAGCTGCCTCCTGCACGCCCCCCACCGGGGACGTGCCCGCAACCAAGGTCCATGCCCTTGGCCGGAATCGAACCCGGGACCCTTCAGCCCGCAGGCCGACGCTCTATCCGCTGAGCCACACCGGCCGGGGCCAAAACTCTTTAAATTCTGTCCTGAAGTTCCTCCTCAGGTCCTGGGCCCCCTACCGCCCGCTGGTTCCAGCCTGAAAGTGGATACAAGAGTGAACTGGGCCGGAACCAGCGTGGCTCAGCGGATAGAGCGTCGGCCTGCGGACTGAAGGGTCCCGGGTTCGATTCCGGCCAAGGGCATGGACCTTGGTTGCGGGCACATCCCCGGTGGGGGGCGTGCAGGAGGCAGCTGATCGATGATTCTCTCTCATCGATGTTTCTAG